TATTAAATAAGAATAGATTACTAGAACCAGATATTCATTTTTGGGTAAATCAGATCCCAGATGGTTGGATTCCACCTAGCAGGATGTGATTGGCAGCCTTCCTAATGTTTTTGAAGTCGTAAGTCAGCTATGCATGCTCCACACATATATGAGTTGCTAAACTCAAAACTCCTGTGTTAAAAGTCAGGTTTTTTTGTTTATGATTAGTAAGTACTACAGTAAGTTAATTGGTAGTGTGTTATTGATTAAGTTTATTACATTTTATTATTTACACTAAATTGAATTTGCTGAGATGATAGCCCAAAGTTTTGAGATTTCTTGCATAATTACCACACCACTCAATTAACATATAAACAGTGTATACAAAAACCTTCCTTTCCTTTGATCTTATTAAAACATATTAATAATGGTGAGTCTCATGTATGACTTTTTTCTAAATTAAAATTTCTGAGCAAGCACATAATGAATTGGGCAATATTGAAGACAAGTTGAGAATATTGCAAGAAGTTACTTTACAAAAAATGTATTGCATTTATTTCTTCATTTTCCATGAGGACAGTGCTTAGAATAGCATACATATGGAGGTCAAAGGTCACCTTATAGGGATACATTCTCTGTTCCACAATTTGTTTCAATCCACAGAGACTGACCTCAAGTCCTAAAACATGACAAAAAGTGCCTAATACTACTAAGCCATCTCACTAACCTGATTACACAGGCTTTCTTGGCGCTCATAAAGCAGAGTTACTAATATATCTTGTAAAATGGCCATTTTGTTAAAATTAAAATCATTAAAAAGTTAACGATTTTGAAATAAATGATACAGTGTGGGTGCTGTTTATCAATTACTGACTACAGTAATAAGTACTTTGGAACCATATCTTAGGCCTCTTCCTTGGCAGTATTTCTCGTCTTAATATTCCAGCACACCATTTACCCAGAGTAAGGATATCATATTAGAAATAATGGAAAAATATATATTCAAATGCTTGGAGTTTAGAGATAAAGTTCATACGTTCAAAACCCTGCTTAAATTTTTATTTTATCCAAGAAGTACTAAGGATAGTAAATTTAAGATGTTGGTTTTGTAGGAGATAGCTTAAGGAACATAATAATGGTTAGAATTCTAATTAATAATCAAATCAATTATATCTTTCTGCTTAATCTATACAGCATGATCTTAGAATATTTCAACTGAGATACTTCCAAAACACCTACTATACATTTTGCTTAAATCCTATAGTTTCCTGAGGCCAGATACACTGTCTGCTCATAGGAAAATACTCCAGTAACTTGTGGATCTGTTCAACCAAATTTGTTTAATTAGGAAATAAATGAACAATTTATTAAAAGGAACAAATTTTAAATATAATAAACTTTTAAAAATCTTAATATGTAAGGAAAATTCCCTCACTTCAATATTCATTAAACTTACATGCTGTAAGGAACATAATGTTGTCATGGTTCATCTGCTGCAAACTGACTTGAACGTAAAATATTTGGATCTCTGAGTACAGGAGTGTCAGGGATCACCCGAGTTCAGTCTGCCTAATGGCAAAACTATTTCAATGTATGAAACTATTATAATCGGTACAGATACTGTAACATTCTAAATTCTCCTTTTTTTTTTGTTCAGAGAAACAAGATAATTGTTCTACATTATTTGAGTAACTACATTATTTTCACTCCTTCTATTCTGCTTGGCTACTGTCTATTAGACCAAACAGCCAGCCTACTCTTGTGGGGGTTAACAGCAGCTGAAATCCTAATTTGGGAACTGAACAGTCAAGGGTGTTGTGTGGATGTAAGACTCTTTTGTTTGTGTGTCCTGATTAAAGAAGCTAAAGCTCTGGGGCGCCCCCTGCAGGTTCACTGTGGCCTCCTTCTGGATGATTCATGAGTCATGGTCTACCTTTTACTTTCTCCTACAAAATCCCTATGTTTTCCTCCTCTGTTTCTTGATATATACCTTCTAAAGGGCTGAAAACAGTACACAGTAAAACACGAGAGTAGGAGTGGGTGAAATAAATTTAAGGCTCTACTTAAGGAAATGTTTAGATTTATAGTTTTTTATAAATTGGCTTTAAACCTTATTTTTATTCTTTGACTCTATGATGCTACAAGACAGTAAGACTTTGACTTAGTATGCTAGCTTGTGAGTTTTTATATGTACGCATTGGCATGGTTTAGTCATATTATCTAAAAATCAAAGGTAACTGATTTCACAGTAAACAAGGTTTTTATAAAAGCAGCCTGTTTGTCTCTTAGGTGTGCGTGCAGCAAAGTATTTACAGCTATAATTTCAATTTCTGTCCATGACATTTATCTCGTTGCATGACAGTTATAGGACATGATATAAGTATCTCATGAATATTGTCATCTTTGACTCGTTGTGGTGCCTATTGTTGCACCAATAAAACTCCAAATCGTGCTGGTTTATTATTGTGCAAATATGTTCTTTGTCTGCAGAAGGCTTCTCTTGGGCTATTTCAGGCACTGATCTCTTTATAATTTTATTCTTTTTCAGGGCCATCTCTGAATTCAGAAGGAGTTCACAGAGCCAACTTATACAGGGCCATGATTGAATAAAACAAATGGGATATATAATACAATAGGTAGTAGTGCTTCAGAGCACTTAAAAACTATTCTCTTATTTTAAGCACACCAATGATTCCAGGGCAGAAAAACTTGAACATTATTGTCAAGATTTTCATGAGAAAAAAAAAGTGTATTGTTAAAACATTAAATCTCATGAGCTTTAAAAGTAAAGCAACAAAGTAAAGAAAATAACTGAAGCAGGGTTATACACACTGCATAAAACATTCGATAGAACAGTTGTGGCCCCATTGAACAGATGTGGCTCAAAGAAAATGGGCCAGCAACCTTCAGTGTGCCGTGCACTTTCCTTCTGATAAATTCTCCATCAACAGCAAGTTGCAGAATGGTTTTGGCCTTCATAGAATCAATGTTCTCCAAAGGTCTTTTAGATGTACAAAAAATGTGGAAGAAATCCACTCCTAGTGCTGCTGCTGTATGTGCACGTTGCAGATATAATGTATTTGGACACATGTCCACTTACTAGAGGATGTGAGATACTTTGTTTAAGTTTCAAGACATGCTGATTTCTCAAGACACAGGAGCATCTAGCATGAGGTTTAATGATGTGGAAATAAATCCTCCCTTTAAATAATCTTCAGAATCTTATTTTTAAGAAGCTTCATGGTGATTGTTTTTCTACATAACCTTGCACCCGATGAAGAGAAAATGGGAATTAAGATAGACACTCTTTTCTACATGCTACCTCTGTCTATTTATTTTCTATGGAAATTTGCTCACAGAATTTGGTCTTATCATTTCCTTCATATTGTTAGCATATTGTATGTCACCGAATCATTTTTGTTCCATTTTTAAGCTAAAATTATCGTGATAGAAATTTTAAATCTTCCCTGCAACTAATTGCTTTCTCTATATTTATTATGCATATACTGCATTTCTCCAAAGATTAAATTCTTTCTCTGACTAGGTAACAACTAGAGTATAGTTCACAACTATACATAATTTTATTTATGGTCCTATAATAGCTATTAAGCATTTTGTCACTTTGAAAGAGTATATTTTTGGCTTGTGGTTTTCCAGTAAGCATTCATATAAAAGATAGAGATAACACTGTTTGGAAGATTAGAGAGAAATTTACTAGCTAATCATGTTACCAAAGTATTTTCTTGGTAATTACCACAGCAAAATACTAGTTAGTATAAAATGAGATTTGGTTTTTTAGTTGGGCTGAATCAAAATGAAATAACAGAAATAAATATTGAAGCTAGGTTTTCAAGTAATTGGAGTACAAAATGTAAAAAAGGATACAAAGAATGGCTCAATTTTGTGTTCCAAATTATGACTGATTCTTCATACATAAAAATGAACACATGCCTCGAAGAGTGTTGCTCACTAAATAACGACATGCATTTAAAGTTCACAGGTGGTAGGCAGTCAACACAATCAGGCAAAAACAGAGACCTCTTTTCTATGCTACAAATAAAAGAGATATTGCATGAAATTATCCGTATGAGAAGGTAGAAGGAAAAAATCCAATTATCAAGCTTCTGAGACATTCTTTATATTGCTCTTTGACAAGTTATTTCTTTCCAACTAGAGATTTTCTTTCATATTAGAAATCACCTGACATTTCCTAAATGAATACTGATTGCACCTAAAACCTTGGCTTATTACATTCTGAGCCTTACTGTCACATGTCTTGAAAAGGGAAGTCTACTACATAAATTATAAGTCACATTTTTAATAGTGGGGAGTATATTTGCAAAAATTATAGTATTTATTTGGTACTATATCCAATAAGTAATTGACCAAACTTTAGAATGAAGAATATATATATCAATGCATCATCTATCACTCATCTATTGCCTATTAGTCCTCTATGTATATCAGATGTCACTTTCATATAAGAACTTTCTTAAGTTATGCATTATTGCTCTTTTAGTATATAATGTCAATAGTCAAAAGTAGTGAGAGTCTTGATTGCATCATTACATAAAGTAATTCTCAATGTGGACCATATTTAGATATCATGTGTATGATATATATGCATATATTTTACATACTAATACTACATATGCATGCATTGCTTTAGGAGAGGCCTAACACTCTATACTTATTGAATGAAAGTGTTGGTTGTTATCCAGTGTGGTCCACAGAGGCAAAGTTTTTGCCTGTTTTTATTTGCTCAAGTTCTGTGACTAGTATTAAATATTTTTATGGTATCTGTTCAGTTGTTATTTCATGAGTATATTGTCAGTCAGATGAGCTGTCAGTTTACAGGTCATATCACTGAACATAGAAATCAAGCTAACGCAGCTCAACTAAGCACACTTACTGATTCTGACTTAATTAATTTCTTGATGGCCTATTAATGCAGATATTTTTATTCTAGATGGGTACACACTTCTTTTTGGTCTCTTATATTTTCATGTTGAACTAATGTGCTAACTGCCATTCTAAAAGAGATCCAGAGAATAACTGTGAAAGGGAAAACTGATGAAGAGCCCTCTGTTCCCTAAGGATCTTTTAGGGTTAGCATGAAAACAGCTTCTAGAGTTTCCTGCAGCTGAATGAAGGGATTGTCTAAGCCAAGACTATTCTGCTTGTGCAACTAAAGAAATGTGCACTGCAATTTCATGATAGTTAGATGAAAAAAAACATTTTTAATGCAACAGCAATAAAAAGGTTCACCTCACCCTCAGCTCTTGCCCAGGAGGACAGGATTTTATACTCTCCTGAAGGTTTGACTCTGGAAGAAGGAAGCTCACATTCTTTTCCTCCAAGGAAGATTTTCAAGATCTCTTTCCTATGCAAGCTGTGAACAGTTCCCAAATGACATGATGTTTTGAAATCACTCTGTACAGCATGAAAATCAGGAATCAAAAGTCATCTGTGAAAAAGGTCATGAAAGGTGTTGTCACAAAGGATTTTACTATACGTTCCTTTGGTTCCTCATTCCAGTCACTTAACCTCAAACCAAAAGCCTTCCCCCAACACCCTGTAGGATTGGAATGGTGTGTAAAAGTCATTGGAAATGACATGGCTTTGGTTTAAAGTATCCAGATTTTTACTTGGTTAAAAAAAATCTTATTTGTGTTACCAATAAAGTTGTAATGCTGATAAATTGATAAAAAGCATATTTGAGAAAATAGGAGAAAATGAAGTTAAAATTCTAAATATCAAATTCAACTTTAGAAAAATATCCTCCAGAGCATCTGAAACTTAAAAAAAAACATAAGATGCAATTTTTCTATTAAGAAAACTTCTTTTTTGATGGCTTTTGTATCTTGGAGAGATAGATTACTAAGGATAATATCTATACTCTCTTGATCAAATTGTCTTTTTGATGCTTTAATAATTAACTGGAAAACTTTAGACAATAGTTTATAGGTCAGTTTTGCTGTAAAATGGTATCTTAACTTTTCTGAAAATTACCTATTATTTTACTGCCCATTTTTTCAGCATTCTCTTTTAAACAGAGAGATGAGGTACTCCTCACATTTAAATAGTAGCCAGAGTTCTTGCTTCTTACAAGCAATAGAACTGACTGACCATTCTTAGCCTAATTACAAAGGGGAATATATTGGAAGTCTGTGGGCAAGATTGAATACAAAATAAGCCTGGGAACTTGTCTTTGAAAATGATCAGGAATCAAGGCTCCCTTGGAGAGCTAGGAAACAAAAGCACATCCTTAGGAGCAGTCTTGCCTGCTGTTCACAGAGAGCAATGAACTCACAGCTTTCATTGGCATTACTCTTGGAAGATTCTCCTTCTATCAAAGAAAAGAAAAATCAAAGGAACTGTAGCTTCCACCAAGATTATACGTGAGTGTTCCAGAACTACGTCAGGATAGATTAGAGACATAAACCTGAATATTGTTCAAGCAGGAAGCTTTTTGAGGAGTTGGAGAGATGACTCGGTAGTTAAGAGCATTCACTGATTTAGCAGACAGCCCGGGGCTTGGTTCCCAGCACCTACATAGTGGCTCACAAACTGTTTGGAATTTTCAGTTTCAAGGGATCCAATGCCCTTTTTTGGCCTCCATGGATACCATATACTCATGTGGTACACACACAAACATGGATTCAAATCACTCATACACATAATATAAAAAACAGTAAATATTAAAAAGTTACAACTTCCTAACATATATCCTTAAATAATTTCAAACTGATTGAGTCGTAGGCAGTTCTTATCAAAAGATACCATGTTTTGTAGTGCCATAAGTGACCACAGATGTTGAACAAATTGAACATGGTCAATTTTTTTCTTCCTGATATGCAGGATATGAGACTTTCTATGAGGAAATTAACTTCTCCCATCTCCTCATCAATAAATGCTCTCAAAATAGAAAATTTTTGAAGGATTAGCAGTAGCCCACTTGGCCCATAATAGAGAATAAATGATAATAATCTGCAAAGACCTTCTACCCTCGGCATCATAATTACCTTCCCTGCCATTAGTCTCTCTAAGCTAATATCCTGCTGACACTTTATTTTCAAGACATGAAAATACTATGCTTTTCACCAGTTTATTTTAAAAGACCACAAACTGACCCTTATTCTGCCAATTTTCCTTCAAAACCAATAGAAAATCTTTATCATCATTCCTTTTTAATGGCTACACATTGCTTTTCCTTTACAACCAAGACCACTTAAAGTGTTTGAAAATATTGTCTTCAGAGAAGTGATAACTCCACACATCATTAACACCTTCATGTCATAAACATTCATTTATTTTATCTTAATCAATGCATAGAGAAAAAGATTGGATCTTTAAAACTAAGGTTCTAGTTGCAGGAGAAATAATTTACAGATAGAATCTGGGAGATAGAAATCCTTCCTGATACAGGAGACTGGCCTTTCAAAGGGAGACTAAATACATTTCACAACCAGATTTTTCACAGAAAGGTAGTGTTGGTGCTATAACCTACAATTGCTTGGTTCTGTGGAGCTTGAGACTGTATCCGTGTGTATGTCCCTCACAAGTCACTGGCCCTCTGACTCTGTAACTGAACAAATGGACCTCCCTAAGTGCTAAGATTCCCTGCTCTGCCTCTAGTTACCCTCACCCCAGAAGGCGTGAAAACTTGTTCTCCCTGTAGTCAGGAAGATAAACAAGCTAAAAAGCTTGTACTATAAAACAAACACATATATTGAGGAACCTAGGGAATTAAACAAAAGAAACATCCAATTTATACCATGGATTATTACCTCAATTACAGGTAATTAGCAGAGAAACAAATACATGTACATTAACTCAAGTTATCATTAATGGGAGGTGATAATTACAGTTTACATGGTGTTAGTATAATCTCCTGTAATTCTTATGATCCCTTGAACGCATGTCAATTATCTCCACTTTGCATAAACATAAGGTAGGTTAATGCAGGTGATTGTACGTTTTACTTATAACATTAACAGTAACATTTGTTTTACAACCTCTTTGCAGATTAAACTAGGCAGCTAGTCTTTTGCTGTTATTTGCAAAATTGTTTTATGTGTTAATATGCTAATTTGTGCTACATGCAAATATCACTCAATTTTGAAAGCAGCAGTGGATGGCACACTAGTTTCGAAAGCAGTTTGTAAAATGCTTGTTCAAACATAAGGTGTGTGATGTTACATACTAGTTTTCCTTTTCAGTGTAATATGGCTGTATTTAGTCAGATGATAGTATTAGTTCTCTTTCTTGCTTAATGAGAACACATTAATATGTAGAAAGAAAAATAACACTAATTGTAAGAAAACTTACATACTTACTATTTTAACATCTACTTATTTTTTAAAACTTCTTTGTAATCTAGATTTACACTCTCACACACATACATAATGTAAGATGAAATCAGAAGACTGTTATTAATTGTTGGAACAAGAATAGCAAGAAACGGAGAGAAGGAATTAGGCGAAAGTAGTGGGTGAGCAGACAAGACAGGTGTATGTAGTACAAAGATATTATATATTATGAAAGTGTCATAGCAGGGAGATAAAGACATAGCTCAGTTAGTCAAGTGCTTGTCATGAGAGCCTGACGACCTGAGTTTGATTCCCCAATACTCTCATAAAAAGCAGGCATAATGGAGCACACTTGTAATCCCAGAGAAGCAAAGACAGGCAGATTCAGGGGGCTTGCTGACCAGCCAGAATAGCCTACACAGATTCCCAGACACTAGCGAGATATCTTACCTCAAAATAAATGTGAATGATTCCTGAGGTATGACACCCAAGACTAAAATGTGACTTTCACATGAAAATGTGTACACATGAACATTCACACATACATACACACACACACACACACACACTCAATCCTATTATTTTGTATAGGAATTTAAGAAATTAATAAATACAAATAAAACTGCTCTACATCTACCCTATCTTCCATCAGACTGGAAGATGCCATCAGTATAGACACCATATTCTGGTTCGTTATATGTAATAATCTTGGAGCTTTACAGAGAATCAAGGACACAGTATGGGCCATCTAATGGATGGATAATTACTGTACCCCTGTGACACTCCTATGCCATTTTTCATTCTTGCATCAGCATACTATCAAATCCTTTACTCTTGGCCTTTTGGGGAGGTAGTGACTAACGCATTGCCAGTCACAAAACAGTTCTTCATGCCATATATAAACTAGCTTTGTTCTCTGGAAACACATTTTAATACATTCACATGAACCTTTGTTTTGCCAAGGAAGAAGACATCAACAGACAACTTATAAGAATGCAAGGCACTGTGAAATTCAAAGGGCAACATAATTTTACCCATAATGTTCATTAATGATGAGTTCAAATGCAGCACAAACAGCAGCTTCAAAGAGAAAATAAAGCCTGTGGGGGGTGGGTGTAGACCTCTGGAAATTCCTAAGGACTTTCTATGTGTTTCTAGGGACATCCCTAAAACCCAAGGTCAGGCATGTGCAAACATTTTGTAAAAGAATGTTCACAGTAATTGAGCCTAAGGTAATGTTTCTCAATGGTGCAAGTATGGTTTTCTTCATTCTCACAAGATAGAGGAAACACATTCCCCTTGTCTATTTTCTACAGCACTGGCTCTAAACAAGAGGCATCTTTATCACCTTTCCCCCAGAAACTGTTGATAATAACTGTTTTTTCATGCTAATCTAAGGACTGTGGAGCCAATGGGTAGCTGTTAAATATCCCACAACAAAGAACTATTTATATTCAAGTATCAGTACACTGGTGCTCAGAAGTCTACACAGAAGAGAAGTTGGCAAAGAGTTGTTTTCCCACATTATTTCATATGAAAAATAATGAATCAGTGAAATCCTGTTAATGCTGAAGTACTAATATGTCTACCAAAGGCACAAACTTAGGGCTATTTCTAAGTCTGTGATTTATGTAGTGTGTCTGAGAATCCAGAACAAAGTTCACCTGAGCAGCAATGCAGAAATTGAATGTGGTAATAAAGTCTAGTATGGAGGATATGTAAAAGTGGAAGTTTTCTTCCACTGTGAAAAGAATTTTAAAAAATGCATAACTGCCATGGTAAATAATGTGGTGATTTCTTATAAAACTAAAGACATACATAGTCTATAATGTGCCATCTCCTCCTATATACTTATCTGAAAAAGTAAATCCACATATACATAAAATACATGTACAAGAAATCACAGTAATGATTTTAATAAGAGTGAAAATATATAAACATCCCAGCTACTTATCAACAAAAAAGAGATCAATTGCGAGACTATATAAATAATAAATAAATAGCCAGCAATAAGAATAAAAGCAGGCATATATTCCACAATACCGTGTTGTATACAATTTAGCCAATCTTTATCAAATTCATCCATTTAATGTTTAAAACTAAAAAAAGAATAAAGGAATGCCAAAAACATTACATTTAATTAAATAGCTTTATA